CGCGGGTTATAATATATATTGCGAAGTTTCTAGAGACCTTAAGTCTCTGAACGGAGCGTTATTTCTTAAAACGACAAGTCGGGTCGTTACAAAACTTTAAATCAAATCCACAAACATCAAGTCTTGAAAGAGAAATCAAATTCCTAGAAACTGAAGGTACATAAAGAGTCTGTAATAGATCAAGGTGACGTCCAGTCTCCATGATCAAACGATAAGTCCCTATGCCTTCAATTGGAGCCTTCATATGATTTTTCATGAACAAGAAATCCTTATTTGGATTTGTAGTTTGGATCGTAAGGAATCCCTGCAACATAGTATATACTTGAGAAGTTGCACCAGAATCAAGCTACCAAGTATTATTAGGAACTTCTATTAAATTTGATTCGAAACATATAAAAGCACTAATTGTACCTTTCTTTTCGAACCAAGCTTTGCGTTTCATGCAATCTTTCTGATAGTGTCCTTCTTTATTACAGAAACGACACGTATCTGCCTTATGTTCCTTCTTAGCATCCTGTGGAGTTTTAGCAGGTGCTTTCTTCTTCTTGAACTTGTTGGGCTTCACTTTAAGTCCTTTACCAGCTCCTTGACCCATGAGGTTAATTGAATGACTCCCTTATTTCTTAAGTCTTGACTCCTCCTGAGTAAGCATACTGGACAATTCACTAACATTCTACTTATCCTTAATAGTGTTATAGTTAATTTGAAAAGGTCCATACTCAGGAGGCAACAAGTTCAGAATAAACTGAACCAAGAAGGAATCATCCACTTTCATCCCCAAGGTCTGAAGTCTTGCTGCAATGTTAGTCATCTCGATGATATGGTTTTGCATACTACGCGACCCATCAAACTTCAAGGTCGTGAGTTCAGCCATTAGTATACCAGCGCGAGACTTATCTGCATTGTATGTCCAAAGATGGCACATATATTTGGTTAAAAATATTTAATTACCTATTAAAGACTAAATGACATTTATATTATGATAGTGTGTCGTTGTATTTACCCAAAGCAAAATTGCGATATGCTTTAACTGTTTTGTTGAATCCATATTGATTCGTGAGCATGTATTATCTATTTTGCAACTATTCCTTTTCATTCGCTTGCTTCGTCTGTTACTGTGTTCAACGGATTAAACTTCTCTGAATGGCGGGAACAAATCCAGTTTCACTTAGGTGTGATGGATCTTGACTTGGCTCTGCTGAATGATAAGTCCGATGCCATTACTGATTCGAGCAGTGCGGATGAGAAGTCTTTCCATAAAGCATGGGAACGCTCTAACAGGATAAGCCTTATGTTTATGCGAATGAATATTGCCAACAATATTAAGAGTACTATTCCACAAACAGAAAGTGCCAGAGAATGCCTGAAGTTTGTGGAAGAACGCATATTTGACTAAGAATATTAATTTACCTCATCATATTCACTATTCATAGAATCATTGATTCACCTTTGGGTAAAGCCTTAGTTTCTAGCAATAGTGAAAATTAATTTATCCACTAATTTTTAATTATAGTTATTTCATGGATAAACTATAATTTTATGTATGCATATTTTCATAAACAAACTAGTTTGGCCACTTTGGTGACTAACAAGCTATATAACATAAGTGCACACACAAAATAGAGATCATAAAATTTTATGCATGTGAATACTTTAAACAATCTAGTTTGATCACTTTGGTGACTAACAAACTATATACACATTAATCACATATATAAAATAAACAATAAATAGTTTCACCAACCTAATAGTCCATAACAGATTACTATACGACCCAAGAAATAAATAACTAATTTCAAATCAACTTATGACATTAACGTTACTCCTGAATCATCAAATTCTTGCACATCATTATAACCGTAACTTCTATTATCACAATTTATATAATACAAAAATCTATTCAAGTACAGAGAAATACTTTTGTCATATTCTTACACTGAAATCAGTACTTAAATAAGTTAAATCAATAAACTATAACAAATAATCATGGTGTGACATTTACTATTATTAGAATAAATAATAGTATTAAATAATAGAGACCGTTAGCCTAAAAAATGATTATAAGGCAAAGATAATTGAACAATTCTAGTCTCAAGTTAAATATAATGAAACCAGTAAAATTGTTAATTTTAACTGATGCATAGAGCTAATGGGGTCGAACACCAACCTTATTTAATAAGACCCTCACAATCTTTTTGTTCCCGACTTTAATAATGTCTCTGGACTTAACTAAAATGACAGATGATTCATGCTGCCATCCCACTTGATTGTATTTTGCCCATAATAACTTATTCATACCAAACATAATAAGGCTTGCTTTCGAGATTGAATCTCAATTTTCTAGATCTGCTAGAAATTCAAATCTAGTTATGTTGGTTTTCAGAAAACTTAAGGCTCAATTTTTTGAAGCGGAAGAGGCAATAAATATTTTCATAGAAGAAGATTATCGGTTCTAGTTCCAGGCTCATGATACCACATGTTAGCATAAACTTTAATTGCATTGCAGGATCTTGAACATGATAATCTTACACAAAATCGTACAGAAAACATACCTGAATCGTAAGGCATTATCGTGAAGCGGAACGGTTAATTCAAATTGGTTTCTCGTCCCTTGTCCTAACTTTCGTTACTGCCGACTTTAGTGATGGAAGAGAGAAAATAAAATACGGTAACCCTAATGAGTAGGGAGAGGACCAATTTATAGAGGTTCTCATTTAATCTGGTACGTCCATCAAGTAACCGATCGGACGGATGAGATTTACTCATTAATTAAATATTAATTATGGGCCTTAAACTTATTGGGTCACCAATAAGAAAATCTTACATGGCCATCACTATATTTTGATTTTGTACAAAAAATAGATAACATTTTTAGGTACAATATTTGGAAAATTCTTTATTAAGAAAAAAAAGGTTTATCATGATTCTATGACATCAACGAACCAAAATGATACCCCTGCTATCCTAAAAGGAACCACTCAATTTTCAAGTTATCCATAGCTAAACAATTCATTGATCGATAATGCATTACTTGTCAAAACAAGTCCTTCAGAACATACAATTTTGTGGGCACACCCATTGAATACACTAACTACCCTTCAAAAGGCACCCAAAATTCTTCTTAGGTATGCATCCGCCTTTGCTGAATTAACCACCAAAAAGAATCTCCGAAGCAATGGATACTTCTTGGGAAGCCAGTGTTACCGATTCCATAAATGCCATTTATCTTTTGTTCTCTGCTTATTTAGTGTTTGTAATGCAATTGGGCTTTGCCATGTTGTGTGCAGGCTCTGTCAGGGCCAAGAATGCCATGAATATTATGCTTACTAACGTTGTTGATGCCGTTGTTGGTAGCATTTCCTACTATCTTTTTGGCTTTGCCTTTGCCTTTGGCGATGCCTCTAATTCAAACCCATTTATAGGCACTAGTTATTTTGCTCTCAAAGACATTCCTTCAAGCTCTTATGACTACAGTTTCTTTCTTTATCAATGGGCTTTTGCAATTGCTGTAGCTGGAATCACTAGTGGCTCCATAGCTGAACGTACCCAATTCACCGCCTATCTTTTCTTCTCTTTTTTCCTTACTGGGTTTGTTTATCCAGTTGTAGCCCATTGGCTTTGGTCTTCCAACGGTTGGCTAAATCCTAATTCAGATTCTCTACTGTTTGGTTCTGGTGCCATTGACTTTGCTGGCAGTGGCGTGGTGCATTTGGTTGGTGGGATTGCTGGTCTTTGGGGCTCAATCATAGAAGGCCCACGAGTAGGCCGATTTGATGCATTTGGTAACCCTGTGAAAATGAGAGGTCATAATGCAACTCTAGTAGTGCTTGGCACATTCTTGCTATGGTTTGGATGGTTTGGCTTTAATCCTGGCTCTTTCGACAAAATTCTTGTCCCGTACCCACATAAGATCGACCAAGGTAACTGGACCTCAGTAGGGCGAACCGCGGTCACGACGACCCTGGCCGGTTCCACAGCCGGGATCGTCACCTTGTTCGGCCGTAGGTTACTAGTGGGACACTGGGATGCAACGGATGTGTGCAACGGAGTCCTCGGTGGGTTTGTTGCAATCACCTCAGGATGCTCAGTGGTAGAACCATGGGCTGCAATTGTCTGTGGGTTCTGTGCAGCTTGGGTTCTAATTGGACTCAACATTTTAGCACTTAAACTCAAATTTGACGATCCACTAGAGGCAGCCCAATTACATGGAGGGTGCGGAGCATGGGGTTTGATTTTTACAGGATTGTTTGCTAAGGAAGAATTTGTATTACAAGCTTATAACTCTGGTAAAACACAAGTGGCACGACCTTCTGGGCTAATTTTAGGAGGTGGTTGGGGCTTGTTTGGGGCACAAGTAGTTGAACTTTTGAGTATTGTTGTTTGGGTAAGTCTGACAATGGGGCCTTTATTCTATGTACTTCAGAAACTTGGAATTTTGAGGATAACAGCAGACGAGGAAATTGCTGGTCTTGATATCTCCAGTCATGGAGGTTATGCGTACGAAGCTAATCAAGAAGAAAGCGGTCCCCGCTTCTATGGCGAGTATTTAAGGATGCAACACCAGTCATAATGTTAAGTTGCTATTCAAATATTATTCAAATATTCTTTCATATGCAAATGTATATATGCTTTGCTGAATTTGCTGGCTTCTTAGCAATTATTCAATGAATATGTATATTTTGTTACTGAGAAAATTTGTGGCATATATATCAGAGAACCCTCCATTAGTTATTGACATAATGCTTCATAATCTCCACAATCATAAGGAACGTGAAAATGAAGTAAAAACTTAATTGAGTTTATTACTGTTTGGATCAATGTTGTCGCTCCTATTTCTATTGCACAACCAAATATATAGTAACATACTAGTAGAGTCATGCCTGTGCTGTGCACAGGCCCAAGTCCGACACGAGAGAATGTGTTAATATTGTTACAAATTTAGTTTTCCTTGTGGATGATAGGCAAGCAACTAAATAAAGATGAATCATAGCGAAGGGATATATAGCATCCAGAGTTTAAAAACAACAAAACCGCCATATTAGAAATTTGTTTATCAAACTCTCTGAATTCTTATAAATCAACTGTAATACAAAGAGCATGAAGATAAAAATGAATTGTTATAAATTCACTATAATACAAAGAACATAAAGATATAATAAGCATTTTGTTGCAAATCGTAAACTGAGGTCTTTCTTATATGATTACCACCAAGGACTTGCCCCATTAATAATTACACCATTATTTCAATTTTATTGTCATATCTGGATAGAGTTGAGCTCCTCTGGAATAGTGATTATCCAAACCTTTTCGAAGCTCCACAAGTTCACTAAGGTTGTAACCGAAGAATTCAGATGGTAATAAACTTCATAGCAGAAGCTTTGGCTAACCAAGCATTTTGAACGGTAAATGCTTAATTAAGGGAGTTGGCTTTTTATATTTTCTTTGATGGTGTTGATTGTTCATTTCTGTCGGGAGTTAAATCAAACACATTGCATGCCAAAGCTAAATTCCCACAATTGGAATAGGAAGTATCAATTACAATATGGTAATCTTGTTTTATTTTTGAGTACCAATTCCCCTCCCAATAATCTTGTGCAAGGAACCTATTCACCTTACAAATATAATCTTAACCGATCAAAATTACGGAACATGGATAAACTCAACATGCATCTATTTCTCAATTTTATATGCGCATTTTCAACTCAGATACAACTAATGATATGAATGTACAAAATGCAGCAAGGAAAACTATCCAAACAGCAGTAAAACAACGGGATACCAGCAATTTTCCATTACCAACAAACAGGTGGAATAAATAAAGAAGAAAATGAGAAAAAAACCAATAACAAAGAGTAGAGAAAATCTGGAATAAGGATGGAGAAACTTTGAAAAGAAAACACCAAAATAAAGCAAAACAAACAAAATTTAGAGGAAGAGAGATAGAGGCACAAATTTTCAGCTATGAAGCTTAAATATTACTACCTCCGTTTCAAATCAATTAGATAAGGTACTTTCCTTTTTAGTTTGTTACAAAATAAATGACACATTTCTAAATTTAAAAATAATTCAACTTTAAATTCTTCATTTTACCAATTTTACTCTTAACGAGAAACTTTTATAACCACACAAATATCATGGTCCCACAAAGCTTTTACCTCCTACAAAATAAATGACACATTTCTAAATTTAAAAATAATTCAACTTTAAATTCTTCATTTTACCAATTTTACTCTTAACGAGAAACTTTTATAACCACACAAATATCATGGCCCCACAAAGCTTTTACCTCCTAACCTCTTAAGACAAGTTTTAAAAGTCTTTCTTTTTTTTTTCTTAAACTCCGTGAGTCAAACTCGGGTAAATTGAAACGAAGAGAGTAGTAACGCAATATCATAAAGAAACGAAATTCAAGAACAATCCTGAACAGAGAAAGAGAATTCAACCTTATCAAACAACCAACGTAACTACGTAAGGATATAAAAGATCTAACCTTATTAATTGGAAGCGTAAAAATTGAGAAACTCCCCCAAATAAAGATGACACCTTGAACTAGGGGAAGCAGAAGAGAATTGCTGAGCAGTGAAAGAGAGAATTAGAGAAGTGGAGAGATGAACTGTGCATCTAAAATAGTACACGTGGTTTGGTAAGGGAAAAGAAAGTACACGTGTTTATTGAATAATCAGATAGATCCAAATATACAGTACAATTCTCATTATATTTGGTACAACTAACCAGTGGAGTGTTCGTCCCATCCAAGTGCCATTTCTAAATATAAAAAAATAGTAATCTGTTCAATAAATATCACCAAAATTACAAGTCTGGTAGATTATGCAACAGCTAAAAGAACTTTGAGGGTGTTTGGCTAAGCTTATAAGTTGGTCAAACTGCCTTATAAGCACTTTTTGGCTTATCTACGCGTTTGGTAAAATTAAAAGTGTTTATAAGCCAAAATAAGCCATAAGCCATAAGTTGGTTTCCCCCAACTTATCAAATTTCAGCTTATATGCACTTTAGGTTTGACTAAAATATTTACTATTTTATCCCTAAAATACTTCTTTTTAAAACAAAACTCTTCGTATAGTTTTACTCTATCCCGGTTCTTCATAAAACCTAAACAGTTGTTGCCTCTCCAGCCGTGCCATTGCTTCCTTTACGTGCTTCTTTCGTTCTTCTCTGCAACTATCAGACAAATTGCAGGTAATTTTTTTATGTTTTAAACACTCTATCAAGATATGTGTACAAATCCTCCTACGTATTTCTATCAAGACAAGATGTGACTAAGATGAAAAGAATTGAAAGCTGAATGAATCCAATTTTTGGTTTTGGGATCCAAATCATAAGCTACTTTTTGTCCCTTTCATCCCATATGTTTTAAACTTTACTGAGTATTTATTGTTTGTCAAATTTATATTTCTCGGGCAGTATTTTTCTGCGTGTAATCAAAGTGACGGTACAAAACAGGCCAGCCTTTCGCTTTTACGCATGAATTTTCTTGTCTTGTATTTTTTTTTTTCTCATGACTTCTTGTTTAGAGTTGAGTATATTATTAATGTTATAAGGAGGTAGGCTACACGTATCCCCTTCTTCATGCATTGATGAAGACCAGCAAACACATTTTGGATGTAATACGAAAGATACCTAGTTATACATAAAGTTTCTTGTTTGTGAAATTTATTCACGGTCACAACTCAAGAGGAGAAAGAAGGAGTCGAGTAGGAACATAAATTTATTGGAAGTTACAACCCTCTGAAACTCAAATATAACAACACATGCTTTCTCTTGTTTTGTTAGTCACTAGAAGTTTAAGACAGTTGGTCTCATTATAATATTCAATATTATTTATACTTCAAAAGTATGTGACATACAAAAATAAAAAGGCGTTCTTTTGAACTTTGTTTATTTTGAGTTGTGCATAAATATTATTATATGTGTACATTTATAGCTAAATCTTGTAATCTTTTCAGATTGTTAACATTCAATTATGGGAGAACGACATAATGCTAAGTGGGACGAATATGCACATATTAAATTCATTGAATTGTGTGAGCAAGAAGTTAGAAAAGGAAATAGGCCAAACACTTACTTGTCTAAAGATGGATGGAAGAATATGGTAAATGAGTTCAATAAGAAGACGGGACTAAAATATACTAGAAAATAAATGAAAAATCATTGGGATCACATGAAAGCAGAGTGAACTCTTTTTAAGCAGTTGATGAGAGGTGAGACAGGTTTATGATGGGATCCCAAAAGAAAAATAATTATTGTAGATGATGATTGATGGGAGCAAAAAATTAAGGTACATTCCTTGCCCTTTTCTATAATTATTTCATAACTCTATTAATTGTTAGTTTCATTTGTTTGCTTAGAGTAATTTTAAATTCTTTTTTACAGGAGAATTCTAAATACAAAAAATTTAGGAACAAAGACCTTTCGCTGATATGGTTTCGTTACGATGCTTTATTTACTGATATCATTGCCACCAGAGAGAGAGCACGTGCAGCAAATCAAGAACAAGAGTCGGAAGTTGGGTTAGATCAAGATGATGATGGAACAAATGATGTTTATGATAATGACATAGAACAATGGAATGATGAAAGAAGCGATGAAAGTCATGACTTGCAGAATATGGATTCAATTACGTTTCCTGAGCCATCGCTTAGAAAGCGAAAGTCAATAGATGGCAGTGGCAGTAGCAGTCAAGTGAAAAAGCGCAAGACAAAAAATAATTCATTGTCACTAAAAGAGGAGATACACTCCCTTATTGAGTTCATATCTAACAACAGCACATCTAAGTCTTCAGAGCCCACCATTGAGAAGTGCATGGATATTTTAGAAAATATTCCTGGTATTCTTGAAGGGAGTGATATTTTTAATTGTGCTGTGAACTTGTTGACACAGAAAGAGATGCGACATG